TGGGACTTCCGTGCCCGCTGAAGGTGGCGCAGAGGCTCTTGTCTGTCACAGTCTGATGGCCCTCGCTTTCTGGGAGGGAAGCGTCTTATCTATTCTACTTAACAAAGTCTTTCATCGACTTTACTGATATTGACTTTACCGATAGGCCTTTCAGTGGCCGGGCCTTCGGGATGGCTACTAGAAGGTCTGAAACACAGCAGGTGGCTTCTCAGGTACCAACACCAGCGGGAGCTTCGCGACATGCTGGGCTCCTCTGAGATGCTGCCGCGACTCTCCTGAGGATTCTCTTACTACCTGCACCTGTGCTACCCGCACCTGCCGCCTGCGGGGCCCCTGAGCTCCCGGCCACGGTGTGGGTGTGGGGCACATGCCTGCACCGGATGCTCTCCCACCCCCAGGGCGTTCGTTCTGTGCAAACATCGGTTTCAGGGAGAAGCTTCCCGTTCAGGCTGGGTCCTTGCTCTTCGTAAGCTGGTCGTTTCTTTCAGAGCTCGGCTGCATGTTCCAGCCCTTTAGCCCCGTGGTCCCGAAGTGCGATGCCCAGAGCAGCAGCACCTGCCGCCGCCTGGGAGCTTAGACATGCAGACGCTCCCCTACCCAGGGCCAGACACTCGGACGGCCCAGCACCGTCCTGGTCACAGACCGCCGGGGAATCTGCTAACCTGCAGATTGCAAGCTCCACCCGGGTGGGCCTTTGTCTGTTTTGGCTCCAAATGACAGCTCCTGGCTCACAGTATTCTCTCGAAAATTATTGGTTTAGAAAATACATATAGAAATAAAATCCTGATGTACTCTTGGGGACGGGGAAATTCTTTTACAGTGTGACTAACACTTCCAGAACTTCAAGTAAATTTCATGCGTGTAATACGTACTTCTAGAGTCTTTGAATTTTGACTTCGTCAGACTTTTTAGAAACTTTTGAGCAGTTCTTGGGCAACACGGTGATCTCATTGTTTCTAAACCTTCTGGCTGATTGTGGAGTCTTAGCTTCACTGAGCATAACAGATTATTGAATCATAAGTATATTCAATGACTGTTGACAACATTAGCTTATTAAAAATATCAGATATAAAGAAAGCATAATGAATGTTCTTTTTCACATATCTGGAGGTGATGGTATTGACCTTTTTATGATGGAAGAACTGATGTGATGATATCAGTTTCTCATAATAAAAACCTTTTATTTCACATGGTCATGATACATGAATAATGTGAATTTTAACAACAATTCCGCATGGAAAGAAAAATTCTAATTTTTAAAGAGATGCTGAAAAACACATGTTTTAAACCTTCTGCCTCTGGCATATTTTAGAATGCTGACTCCTTATAAAATATGTTGGAAAAAGGTTCACTTATCTTTACTAAAGACAGAAATTCAGCGTCCTTCAGGAGATGATGCTCTCTCTTCACACACCTACCTTCAGGGCTTGCTGGAGCACAAAGTGTGAGCTCCTGTTCCTTTGATCAGGAGAAGACCGTGGACATGAAGCCAGGCAAACGCTGCCCTCTGGGACGGCAGCCAGGCTGGGGCAGCTCTGGAACACTGGCTCTCTGTGTCTCATTTGTGCTTAGAGGTGCAGGTGGCTGGTTCCTTTGTTTCAGCATAAAGTGCCAGCCAACATGTTTTGGGGAAAAAAGCTGTTTGGACTAATGCACTTTCTGCTAAAATTTATTACATCATGCTAATTAAACATTTACCGAGGACAGGAACCTACACGTGCCTTTTGGGCTGCTATCAGAAGGGTCGTAGCCTGCAAGGTTTTATATTAGTTTCTATGTACCAGAAAACGTCTAACAGGTTCTGAGAGTGAAATCTGATCTGTCTGAAGCTGGATTTGAACTTCATTGTTTATTTGTTGTTGTTTTTGAAAATACAGGGTTAGTTAGCATTTACTCACCTCTACATTGCCCTGATTTCAGCCTATGACCTGAAATGAAAGTACTTGAGCAACAGAAGGAACCGGTTTTGTTTTTTTTTTTTACTCAGCTCACTTAGAATGTGACTCTAGGATAAATCAGCAACTGGAACCTTAGTCATTTGAGCATGAAGCCAACCTACGCCAACACCCTTCCATGGGAGGTTTCTAAGCTCAGAGAAGTAGTGAATTATGTGCTATTAATATCAGAACTCTTATTGATCCCATGCAATTTTCATGAATTTGCTGAAACAATATTTCGATTACACAGATCCTATTTTACTATTAATCCATTATTTTCACATTCTGTGCAGAAAACTGAACATCCTTTAATAAATTGGTAATTCCTTTCTTGTTCACCACAACAATGCCTAGTACAGAGAGAGAGTTGAAAAACTACTTGCTAAGTGAATAAATGAGTGGAGGTATTTGTTACATTTGTGGTATGTTGGATATCATAGCTGCTCAGTGGCATTGTTCTAATTTCTGGCGACTGTCTGGCAGAGATTTCCCTCAACTCCAGGAATTTGGTTTACGTCAGGAGGTCAGAAGTTCTCAGAACTGAACCCTTCCCTCCTCTGAGCAGTGGTTCTCAGACTTCCATCAGAATCACCTGGTTCATTCTGGGGGGGCCCGAGCTCTCTGCCATGAACAAACGTCTGATTCAGAAGCAGATGGTCCATGGACCACATTCTTGAGAAATGCTTCTTTTTTTTTTTTTTTTTTTTTTGAGACAGATCTCGCTTTGTTGTCCAAAGCGAGATAGAGTGAGTGCCGTGCGTCAGCCTGGCTCACAGCAACCTCAAACTCCTGGCTCAAGGATCCTCCTGCCTCAGCCTCCTGAGTAGCTGGGACTACAGGCATGCGCCACCATGCCCGGCTAATTTTTTTTTTTTTATATATATCAGTTGGCCAATTAATTTCCTTCTATTTATAGTAGAGACGGGGTCTCGCTCTTGCTCAGGCTGGTTTGAACTCCTGACTTGAGCAATCCGCCCGCCTCGGCCTCCCAAGAGCTAGGATTACAGGCGTGAGCCACCGGCCGAGAAATGCTTCTTATTCCATCTCAGATGGAATGTGTCCAGCACTGAACTCCCAACCTTCTGCCGCAAACCTGCCCCTTGGGTAGTCTTCATAATTTCAGAAAATGTTAACCCCATTTTTCGAGACAAAAATCTTTAGGATTATCCCTGATTATTCTCTTTCTCTCACACCCAGGAAATCCTATTGTCTCTTCATTCAAAATATATCCAGAATTTGACCTTTTTTTCCTATCTTCACTAATGTCACCTTGGTCTTGCCACCGTCATCTCTACTGTGGACTGTCAGCTTCCACCCTTGTCCCTTCTTCAGTCTCTTCTCACCAAAGCAGCCAGAAAGATGTTGTCACTCATGTGCTCAATACCCTCCAGCGCTTCTGGTCTTATTTAGTGGGAAGGGCCACGTCTCATAGTGGCCCATGAAACCCTACAGGCTCTGGCCCCGGCTGACCTCACCTGCTCCTGTAAGAGCTCACCCGTAAGAATATTTTTATTCTTACACTGCACCTAGTGTATTTCTGCTGCAGTTTCCCCACAGGGATTCCCCCAACTGACCCTAACAGATCTGCACCCGCCGAGCTAGGGACCTGCCGTCCACCTTGCCCGGACTGCCCCAGCCAGATGCCTGCTTGCCTTTGTGGCTCACCTTCTGCAGGTTTTCCCTCCCGGAGGCCCTCCTTGGCCACTTTATATGCAGTCAGAACCCTTCCCACTCTCTACCCCAGGCACCCTTTAGTCCATTTCCTCCTTTATTTTTATTCTTCACACCTTTCAGCATTTATCTTAGGATATGACCCTACAAGAGTAAAGGTTTTGTTGGGTTCATTGTCAAAAGCTCAGAAGGATTCCTGCTCATAGTAAGCGATCAGTAAGTATCTGAGGAAAGAACAGATGAATCCTCCTTCACTTCATGTCTTTTTCTCTTTTTCCCACCCTTACATTTCATCCTTTTCCTCCAGTTGTGGTTTTTTTTGTTTGTTTGTTTGATTTGTTTTGTTTTTTTGTTTTTTTTTTTTTGAGACAGAGTCTCTCTCTGTAGCCCCGGCTAGAGTGCCGTGGCGTGAGCCTAACTCACAGCAACCTCCAACTCCTGGGCTCAAGCCATCCTCCTGCCTCAGCCTCCCAAGTAGCTGGGACTACAGGCATGCGCCGCCATGCCCGGCTAATTTTTTCTATATATTTTTAGTTGGCCAATTAATTTTTTTCCTATTTTTAGTACAGATGGGGTCTCACTCTTGCTCAGGCTGGTTTCGAACACTTGACCTTGAGTGATCCTCCCGCCTCAGCCTCCCAGAGTGCTAGGATGACAGGCGTGAGCCACCGTGCCCGGCCTCCAGCGTGGTTTTAATTCCCTCTTTGACCATATTTGTCCCTTTGCTTTCCTCCTGCCCACCCTGCAGCGTTGGCCTCACTTCCCTCTGTTATTTATTTGGCTTTGTTTCTTTTCCCACCCCCCGTAAGACTTGGGTCACGTTTCGGTGCCCCTTGTCTCTCCACCATTTCATCTTCCCCCTCCTCAGCCTCGGGCCTGGCCCGGCCAGGCCCAGTCGCCATCTTTACTCTCACAGTCTCGAAGCCCCTGCTCTGTGCTTTCCGGAGAAACACAAGACGGTGTCTGCTGTGCGTAAGAAACAGGTGTGGGCGTTGGCTACAGCAGGAGGGAGGCTGCAAACATACGTGTGTCACGGGGAACAAGGACAGGACGCGCTGTGTGGGCCCTGGGCTAATTCTTTAGGGCATCATTTATAAGGAACCATAGATCCTTCACTCAATGCTGCTCGTCAGAATTACGCCCACGATTACAACAGAAACGTAGCTGTTAATGAAATAAAGTCACTATAAATGAAGTATGAGTGCTTGTTCCAAGAGGAGGGATGACTTGGCAAACTTTAGCAACTTACATTTTCAACTTCTTACCCTGTGTCTCAACTGGGTTTCGTATTGTTGATCCTGTTGCTCACATACCGTGCGCAGAGAACTCCGAATGGCACATTGCACAAATAACTGGCGAGTGGGGTAGTGTGTGACATAGGAGTGTGGTTACCTGGTTATGAACGTCCTCTCATTGATGAAGATCCAAGAAGGGCACTGCTGAGCCGTCATAGTCCCCTTTCTCTCCGTTTTGAGCTGGTCAGAAGGTACCCTAAACATTAGAATGATATGAATGATTTGTTCCTGCGATGCATTCATAAATTAGTTTTTGATTTAAATTGAATATTTTGTTGTGTCTCTGGTGTGTAAGGATAGTTTGGAGAATTTTTAAGTACCAAAAAAGAGAAAAAATGTATTATGTAAATTGAAAAACTACAGAGACAGTGACTCAAGACAGGGAAGGATCGGACAATTGGGTAAGTCTGTTTTTGATGTATTTCTAGTGAGAGAAACATGATTCTGTGAGTTTGTGTGATTCTGTGCAAAGGATCATATTCCTTCTGTTGCAAAAACTCAAACCAAACTGGCTGAACCCTGCCCCAGCCAGGTGAACACAACTTCAAATTTCCAGGCAGCAGAAATCAAGCTCTGACTTGAAGTGTTGATTAAGTATGACATAATATCCTTCGAATCTCCTTCAGACTCTGGAAATTGTGGTCAGATGTGAGTAATCTCTTCCTTTATAAGTTCATATAAATGGCATTAGGGTGTGACCAGAGATTGAAAGTATAATATTTTCTGGTTGTATCATTTTGCAGAACTTGACTCGTCAATTACCATTGCTCCAATCCTGCAGAATCTTAGAAAATATGGCCCAAATAAAAAGGTGGGTGGGAGAGAAAAATTTAGTTTTCTTAAAAAAAAAAGATGGGGTGTATTTCCTCCTTTTTCCTTTCAACTCAGGTTATTTTGGTTGGGAAAGATGAGTAAAAAGGACATATTATGTCTTGATCTCCAGAATACCAGGAAAAAAAGGAAAAAGAATATCTATTCTCTTGTAAAATCCTTGACGCATCTTTTTCCTTACAGCACTTTGTTAACCTCACCAAGTATCTTGCAGTAGTCACTGAGCTGAGTGATTCATGCTTTTATCATTCTCACCATCAATCCCATTTGTAGTCACAAACCTCCCGGAGCTCTCATTAAGTCCCTTAACTCAACACTCAGGCTTTCTGTAATTCCACCCAAGCCCACCTTCCCAAACTCAAAAGTGAGGCTTTTACTCAACACCGGGCCTTGTATTTGTAATGAAATTTCATGCCATGAGTCTCTCCTCACCAGCCCTTCACACCAGAGGGGTGTGATCTCCCTGCGGGTCCAGATCTCTGCTTCCTTCCAGTCCCCACTCACGTGGGACCTCGTTAAGTCTTTTTCCCTACATGGCTGTGACTGCACTTTCGGCTGTCTCCCTCGTATGGTCGGTACTGATTCGGACCTCACTCCCTTTCCTGCCGCTATCCCCTTGCTCAAAGAATGGCGCTCCTCTAGTTGGAAATGCCACCCTCTTCGGCAGCACATCATTGGCTGGGGGCTGTCTCATGCAGGGCACCTGGGGGACTCGTGCCAGAGGGGACAGAAGCTCAGCCCCCCGCAAAGTGGCCCTGCAGGGCAGAAGCCACAGGAGCGTTTTATGCAGTGCTGGGGACCAGGACGCAGCGGGCTTCGCGGGCCCAGCAAACCCCAGCCCCACTCCCAGCGCTTGGTCTGGGCTGTCTGGTTATGTGCCCTCTGCTCTAGCTTCTGAAACTGAGCTTTGCCCCAAATGCTGCCATCTTAACAGCCCACCAAAAGGGTTATTGACGCCCCCTAGTTGGATCCCCAGCGATGACTCTTGGGCCTTCTCCCTCCTGGATCTAGATTATTCATCATCTATTACTTTACCTTACCTCTCCCTGACCTCTCCTCCCGTGTTCCAATGGTCTATGTACCTTGCCACATGCTTCATTTTCTCTCCTCATTTCGCTGCCTTCTAGCAGCATGTGACAAGATTGATTCCTCCCCCTCCCCGCCCTTTTGAAACGCTTTCTTCCTGAAGCTTTTGAGACAAACCACCGACAACCACCATCTTGCGATCTCACACGCCTCAGCGTTTTAGTCTCCTCTGCTGACTCTATATGGTCACTAGATGCTGGCGTGTCTCAGTGGTCCGTTTGTGGTTGTCCTCCCTTCTCTGTCTTTATCTTCCTCCAGGTGATCTAATCTTCTCCAGCCCAGCCCCTCTGCTGAGCTCTGGACTCACGCCACTACCTCCTTCATCTCCGCTTAGATGTGTAGCAAGCATCTTAGTAGCAGTGGCTGAAACAGGACCGCCGACTTCCTCCTGCGCTCCAGATGTCCCCTCCACAGTTCTTCCCCCTGTACCCCATTAGACACAAAACTAATACTGAGCCTTGCTTTTCTCTCTTCCTTCATAAGCAGATTCCAATCCAAATGCAGCCCTATTGACTGCGCTGCCAATGTGTGATCTGAATTCAAAGCTTCAGTGTCTACTAGTACCACGTCGTCTCTCCCCTGGACAGCTACATCAGCCCAGAACTGGTTTCCTTCTGTTATAGTCTGAATGTTTGTGCCCCCCCCCAATTTACATGTTGAAACCTAACCCCGCGTGCTACAGTATTAAGAGGTGGGGACTTTAGGAGTGATTGGGTCATGAGGGTGGAGCCCTCGTGAATGACATCAGAGTCCTTGTAAAGGAGACCCCAGAGAGCTGCCTTGCCCTTCATGCCGGGGCACACCAAGAAGGCCGTCTCGGAACCAGACAGCTTGCTCCCCTCGCCAGACACTGGGGATATTTGGAACTGAAGAACCACCGATGGAAGTGTCTTATGATCACAAAGTGAATACCGGCCGCGATGGGCTGAAGAATCATTGCAGTGGCTTTTCAGCTGGTTCCCTCTCTATTTGTATTTATATATATATATAAATCAAAGATATCATTAAATGGAGCAAACAACTGCTACATAATTATCTATGCTGAAATAAATCATAGCCCCTTCAGAAGGCTTCAGATGATGTGATAAAAGGACTTCAAAGGCCCTTACATTATCCTCTCACCTTAGGAAGGAAGACAGTTGAATGGAAGTTAATGGAAGAAAATGAAAACAGGATAAAATCTTCGTTCCTAGGCAGAATATGGTAATTGACTAGGAAAAATGTTGACCATGTCTGATCCACAAATTGGCCAAACAAAATATTCAAACAGTTCCACTACATGAAAGGTAAAAACATGATTTGGTAAAAGTCTCATTGCTACTAGTCATTAATTACTATTAATTGTTGAGACATAGATCTAGGGATTCAAATAGTTTCTCCTCCCCATTTTCTCCTTCCCAATTACCACAATTCGTAGCTAATTAAAACCTGGTAGGGCCCTTGTGAAAATATTTTAAATTATAAAGACTTGCTGGATTTAAGGGTCTGAACTAGTTTTCTCAAATGCTTAAGATAGGAGGGTAACAGAGGGACCGAGAATAGCGGAGGTGGAGCGTTTATGAAGAAAGGAAACATTGCAGCCCTAGACCCGGAGGTCTTACGTGTTTGTTCAGTTATCTTGGTGGAACATAATAAACTATAACTCAGGGAGGAGGGTGGTTTACAACAAGTT